CAAATTGTACCCCACCCGTTATTAACTTGAGGATGTTTGAAGGAAACATTGATTCCAAGAATAAAGCTATGGCCAAGAAAGGAGGAGGGAGGAAGGTATTGGGGGGGAAATACCTATGTTTATTGAAGCAGAAGTTATCACCTTGTCTTGGTAATTTCAATTTGAGGTTTTTAAGGACTATCTTATGTCAGAAGTCAGTTTGTATAGTAATAATGGGCCTTTCTGGTTTTATAAAGACAGAACCTTTGAATGTGGGTGGAAGTGGAAATATCCTATATTGGGTCATTAATTGTCCATTCAACACAATTCTGAAAGACACTGAAGAGTTTGGGTCCCCCCCCCCATTGGCGTGTTGTCAGCATTAAATGTGACATCAAATGCAGCAAAATTAAGTATTTTTTCCCCATGCAGTATTTTTCTCCTGACTGAATCGAACAATGCCGTTGCCATAGAAACAGCCTTTCTGGAAAAGGTCACTTGCAAGAAACTGTGTTTTAGGTGCAACTCAAGGAGATTATGGGGGATTAGCTAATTTATATATATATTTCTTTAAAGAAAATATTATGGACGAATAATATCCAACTGAGCTGTGAGGTTCTCTCAGTAAATTAAAAACTCTGTGATAAAGGCTTTATTTTGCCTTTTTTTAAAAACGGTATGCAGTGGGGTGATATCTGAAATAGTGATTCTCTTCCCTTTTTTTTAACTTGGTTTTAATTAAACCTCAGTCAGGGCTGAGAAATGTGGTGAGAGAAGATAATTGCCCTATTCCCAATGCAGTTTTTAAACTCTGGCTTTGATATGTGCCTCCTGACAGACTGAACCCCTACTTTGGCTCCAGGCTGAGTTTGTGCTATTTTTCTGGTAACCTATGGGGTGCTGGAAAGAGAAGACAAGTGAAGGAGGATGCAATGCGAGAGATTAAGAGAGGGGAAATTTGGGGAGATATAATCAAGGAGAAGAGACTTTTAAGGTTAATCGTTGCAGACAAACAGCCATTTTTTTAACTGAGATGTTTGCAATTGAAAGTAGTTGATGGTATCTTCTGTGTACAAGAAAACTTCTCTGTGGTAAAATAAGATTTCCAAGTGAGAGATGAGCACTGTGACTACTGTCTGCTGGAAAAGGGGGAAATAATACAGAAGTTAGATTCCGTTAAGAGCTTCTCACAGATGATTCACAGAAGATCTTGCGGTCAGTGGACATTTACGAGGGAATCTTCCTTTATACAAGGCATAAGTGACTTAAGGACTTAACTTTCTCAATGTGTGGTAGACAGCCGCTATCTTATATGGCTGTGCAAAAGACAGCTAGAGAAAAAGAAAGAAGTGCTGGAAAATGGTGCCAGGTGTTGAAGTGCAAATGGCCTCCATATTTTAGTAAATGTGTCTTCTCTGAGGTAAAGTTGCCCTGAGGCCCAAAAAGGTTGAGCGTGGACACCCAGGAGGAGGTACCTGGCAGTTCAGGGCTGGATCCTTGGATTGCAGTAGAGCCTTTTGGCACCCAATGGGTTGGAGCAAATCCTCACTGTACCTGGTGCCTCAGGATAAATCCCGATGGCGTTGAAGGTCAATAAACCCCTTTCAGACTTCTAAGGGGGAAGAATAAATGTTTGGTAGGGAGGGGAGAATGGGAAAGTGGCAGCAAACTCTGCCCCAGCCTAGGGTTACCCACCTCTAGGTGAGGCCTGCCTGGAGATCCCAGAATTACAATTGATCTCCAGAAAACATAGATCAGTGCAAATGGCTGCCTTGGAAGGTGGGCTCTGTGGCATTATAACTTGCTGAGATCTCTTCCAAACCCTTCCTTTCTCAGGCTCCACCCCCAAAATCCCCAGGGAATATTCCAGCCCAGAGTTGGCAACCTTACCTTGACCTATGCACATGCATTGGGGCACATGCATAGGGCTTATGTGTGGCCACTTCTCTTTGTGCAAGTGGGAACCCTGATTGTTCAGTGTTCCCGAATACCAGAGACAGACCTGTACGCATACTCTTCCTTGCTTCCATACTCTAAGCATATTCTACTAGAAGTGAATAGCTTGCCACCTCAATCCCACTCCCCGCCCCCACTCATTCTCCTCCCTTAATACATTTAAATTTAGTGAAAAGTATTGTGTGGCAGTTCACAAGTGGTTATAAGTCCGCTCCACTGCTTACACATCTGTGGCAAGAGTCACAAGGCCAGAGCCCACATAACTGCTTCATCAAGTTGCAGTCTGGTCCTTGTAGCTGCTCATTGTACCCTAGTTACACCAAGTGGGTTTGAATCATACCTTCCAATGTTTGTCAGGTGAACATTCGGAGGCTGGGTTTCTTTTACTGGCAAGGCTATTACTAGGGTTGCCAAGCTCTTTGAGCTCCCATTTACCATAGAGTATCTTCTAATTTTTGGAGCTACTGCCGTTATTTCTAGGTTTTCCACGCAACTATAGCTGGTACATCCCACCGAAAACTTTGGAAACCTTAACTTGGAAAAAAAGAGCCCCTTAAACCTTTTCCTGCTACCTAAAAACACATTTTTACAGATAGATGCCAGAGTTACTTATCACAGATACTAAAATCTACAATATTCCAGAACCGAATGCCATGTGAGCCAGAAAAACTTACCCATGCATATGCCTGGCTTCTCATTTAATTTGGGTCACCTTGCTTGTGCATGTGCTGTTCGCATGCCAGAGATCGGTAGCCAAAGAAGGCGCTACGCTGGCACGCTAACATTGAATGCATAGCAGCTCGCTTTAAATGTGCTGTGCCTCATGAGTAGGTTCTTTTTGCGAACCTGGCATCTTGTTTAAATTGGGCTTCAGTGGATAATTGTACTGTTGTCAGATCTTGCACTGGAACAAAGATGCTGATATCCCTCCAGGTCAAGAAGTGCAATTGTACTCCACAACGGTGAGAAAGAGGCTCTTGTAAATAACTGAGCGTCAACATTACGAGTGGGGTTAATGTAAGGGCCCGACGGCACAGTTCATTTGTGAATTGTCTGTAGTTTCCTGGGCTCTCTTCCCTGCTCATCTGTTTGTTTTTTGCGGGGGTGGGAGAGCATAAAGCTCATTGCCATTCAATATTGTCGGGAATGTGCTTGGTAGAGTCTTTGCAGTCATGTTTCTCTGAGGCTGGGTGTAGCATCAGACCCCTAGAAGGCAGCAGTATTCAGTTTCTATTTCCAATAAACTTTAAAAATAAATAATGGGCTGGGTCAGTCATTTGTGGCGTGCACAGTAATGGAATATTCCCGCCTCACACTTCTGTAACCCCTCTCCCCAAGGGACTTCCCTGCGGCCTCTGCGGCTTCCACACTTCTAGTGACCAATCTAGTTTGGCTCTGTACTTCCAGGGAAGAAAGCTGTGTGTATTTTACATAGATACCAACGGACAGACTAGGAACTGTGTTGAATGTATCAGCAAGGCCAGGCAGGAAGTGACATATTTCAGAGTATAATGTGCTGTGAGTTCTCCTGGAATGAGGAGAAAGCCCTGAGCTTTGCTGGTGTGCTGGGCCCTGTAGAAAAGGTATAATCTGACTGAAATAGGGGGGGGAATGATGGGGCTTAACAAATGACAAGTGGGGAGGGTGAGGGCTGGGAAATACCTGGAGATTTTGGGGTGGAGCATGGGGAGGATGGGGTTTGGGGTAGGGAAGGTCCTCAGGAGGCTATAAGGCCATAGAGTCCACCCTCCAAAGCATCCATTTGCTCCAAGGGAACTGATATTGGCTGTCTGGAGATCAATTGTAATAGCCGGAGATCTTCAGGTGCCACCTGGAGGTTGGCAACCCTAGGGTGAGGAGAGAGCCAAGTGCTAACAGAACAAGAGGGAAAGGTTGAATTTAGGTTGATCCAGGAAATATGTTGCATTAGAAACAGATTATATGTAAGAACAATGAAGGGTAGTAGTTCTGCAGTGCACTGTGCATCATATTCAGGCGTCACGTATTCTTAGCTACATCCTTGCGAGCTTTATGATTTAATAATTTGTTGTTCACCTTTTTCTGCAGCAGGTTTGGGAAGTGTGCAAGACTGGCCTTTTGATTAGGTTGGATGATAGATTTTGCAGGAAGAGAGTTCATAAGTCAGTTCTTGACATCTATGGTAAAATGATTTCTGACAGCAGGAAAAGATGGATGTGGCGAGTGTCCACACAGACACATGCATATGCATGTGGCCACCTCGTACAGTTTAAAAAATATATTGATTGACCAAAAAAGGTGTCCTGATTGAACAACCTGTAAAGAAGGTGGCATGGTATAGCCCAATCCCGTCAGATTTCAGAAGCTAAGTAGGTTTGGCATTTGGAAGGGAGACCACCAAGGGATACTGTGCAGAGGAAGACAATGGCAAACCACATCTGCTTCTCACTTGCCTTGAAAACTTGTTGCTGGAGTCTCCATGAGTTGGCTGCGACTTGGCGGCACTTTACCCACATGCATTGAATAACCTGGAAACAGATTTTTAAGTGTTTCCTTATCATTGTCAATACAAGTGTTTTCACAAAATTGTAGATGGCAACTGACTTCCCTGTCAACTACTGTTCTTACGGCTATCATCTTAAGCAGAAGTTAGAACTGACTGGCTTTTTAACAAAGACATCCCTTCTTGTGTGAGGAAGACTGTTTCTTGCCATGTGCAAATTTATACAGTTCATTTAGTTGCCTAGTTTATTAAAAGCCAGACTAGATGACCCATTACAGATCCACAGTGGAATCCTGCACTTCTGTCAATAGCATTTGCAAGGGGAAGTATTGGGAAAGCTGATTTTTAAACCCCTCCCCCAAATATTTTTCTCTGATGGAGCACCTCCCCCTTCCTGAGCCACTGTTTCCCTGTTTGGGAAATACACACACACACACACACACACATTAAAAATACTCAAAAGCTAGTTTTCAAATCACCAAATCATCATTGGTATACATGAGTACGTTTGATTACCCTGCCCCTTTCCTACACATTTCTGTGCATTTTTAAAATGTTTATATTTTTCTGCTTTCCCCTTTAGTCCTTCCATTGATGAAGATTGGCTTGAATCCTATTCCTACCCACCCAACTGGCATCCATCTGCACCAAACCGTGTAGTCTTTAGAACTTGATGGAACTCCTCTCTCCATTTTCATTCAGACCAATGTTGAAAACATTGGATTGCATCCAGAGAGCATCTGAGTGCTGAGGGTACTGCCGCTCATCAATTTTCCGAAACGCTCCATTGAAAAGTATTCTCCAGGTATGAATTTTAAATCAAATCTGAATTCAAGTAATAATGTTGTTTAGACCAACTATCCCTTTTATAGTAGAGCCATATTTCTAATTACATTTATCGTGCCAATTATATCATGCATCTCCCCAAATGGAGACAAGATAAATCTCTGGCAGGTACACATTATGTGCATTATGTCTTTTCTGTTTAATGTCATCGTTTAAAGGGGTGAACTTGATCCTTGGATGAATAAACTTTAGAGAATGTGCGGGGAATGGTATAATAGCTCCATATGGTATAGGGAAAAACATGCTGACCATAATCCAGTGAGTGCTACCCAACACAACTGGGACCTTCCAGTTGGCCGTGGTATGATCTGCACTTGGGGGTCTTTGCCTTTTGTAGCCAACAGTGTGATTCTGCCACTTGTGGCAGTCTCTGACTTGCAGCTTCCGGACATTTTTTTGAGGACATTGCTTCTGACAAAGCAACAAAAGTGATTAGATAAAAAAAAAAAAGCAAGGAAGCAAATGAGAGATTTCCCACAGTGCTGTCTATCCGGTGGAACTTACCGGGTTGTTCTATAGTTGAAAATGACAATAAGAACAGTGAGATGACAGTGGAAGAAGTTGTAAAAAAAACGTAGGGGGGTTGTTCTGTTGGATGTGGAGAAGATAGTGTGTGCCTGCCTGGAGGAGCTATTATAGTCTGCTTTTACGTTCCTCTCCTTGAAACAGGACAGGAACTGGCTTGGGCACAGGAGATCTGCTATTGGTTTTGGTTGTTCTAGCAAATGGTTCCAAGTGGGCTGAGAAAAGTGGGCGAGATGATAGATGCTTTCAAGTGGGTGAGAAAATTGGACGTAACTACTTAAGCTTCCCTTATAATGTGACTCAATTGCTTGAGCCACCTAAAGCGATTCATTTTGCAGCATGTCTTACTTGAACTTTTTGCTTGTATTCTCAGTAAGAGTGGTTTTGTGTGCAGTATGGGGTGGTATGAGGGAATAGACTTGGTAGACTTCTGGTTGCTCTCAGTTGTGTGATTCTTAAAGTTTTGCTTGCATTAGTGAGGCACCACTGATTCTATCTCTGTGTGTCTGAGTATGGAGATAGATATACATAAAATCAGCAGACCTAGTACCAGTTTGTGCTCCATGCTTGGAGGGGGCCCCTGTGCCCATCCAATAACCACAACTGTGGTCGTGGGGGAGCTCTGTGGACAAAACCCCGGGGGATCTCATTTCTTCAGTCAATGTATGGAGCAGGGCAAGTCAGACATTAGTTTTCAGATAATTATTGGGTTAGGTCTGGGTGGTATGAATGGTGGCTATAGAGAGAACCTTTGTTTGAGGACCTATGGAGACGCTTGGCAGCCCTGGCACTTACACACAGTGGAAAGCTGCCAAGTTGTCACAGGTGATGGGGCCAAGGCCACCATAGTCTCCTTCAGTTAACTTAAATGGGCTTGTCCACTTTCATTTACTTGAGCATAGTTGTCATTGCTGTTATTTTTATTTATTGCCTTTGTTTTCTCCAAAGAGCTTGGTGGCTTTAGCTTCACATTAACCTTTGGAGGTAGGTTAGCCTGAGTCTTGCCCAAAGACATCCAGTCAGACTCATTTCTGAGCAGGATTTAAATATGAGCCTCCTCCCACATCTAAAGACAACAGTGCTCACTGCACTATGGTTGATTTTTCACACTGCACAATTCTCTGGTCCAGTTGAGTCTCTTGTGCAGTTTTCTATTTGACCTGCGGTTTTTAAATATGCTGAACTTTATCTGCAAGTTTAAATACCGGCTGCAGCTCTTCTCTTTCTCTTTTTTCCCCTTTCTTTTTTAGTAACACTCTCAGGAATAAAAGTAATAGTATCATCAACCAATTTTATGGAACTAATAATTCAGACCCTGCTCTTCCTAGTGAAGCTAAGCTAACAGCTTAACCATTTTTATCACCCCAATTAAGAATACTTTGCTTTGTTCTAATTAGGAGAAATACATGAAGAGACTGATCTCAGGTCGGTTTCCATTTTTCGAGCTCTGAGAACACTTGTTTGGGTCTATAATGTTACAGTCCAGATTTGAGCAATTGTGGGCTAATGAGTGATTGCTGTGGAGTAGGGGGGATTTTTGAGACACCCCAATTTCACTCAGCTGCTCTAAACATTCCAGTCTTTCTGAAGCATATTCAGTTCGCATCACTGTTAGGGGTTGTTGTTTTTTTGCAGGACTGATTATTTTTTCCTTTTGGCTAATTTATTTAAAAAAAATTTTTTTTTTGCATACTCATGGAGTCCCTGAAGACTGTACAGTTTCATCATTCACATACAGGAGCTGGACAGGTTAACATTAGATAAAAGTAATTATAAACAGAAGTGTCTGTGTAAGAGTGCTTGAAAACAAGAGCTTTTTTAGAATGCAAAAATTAAAATCTGCTGAGACAACAGATAAAACATTTCATGAAGAATTCCTCTCACCTCTGTGTAACTATAGAAAGCGTTCCTAAATGCAAAATATTCTAATTCGTTCAGAAAATGCTTCCCATGCCTGTATTTATAGGAGCCAAACTTCCCCCTGCTATAGGGGAAGACCTTGGAACCATAAATATATGGAGTGGTTGGAGGGGAAAGAAGGAGGAGGAGGAGTTGGATTTATACCCCGCCCTTCACTCAGAGTCTCAGAGTGGCTTACAATCTCCTCCCCTTCCTCTCCCCACAACAGACACCCTGTGAGGTAGGTAAGGCTGAGAGAGTTCTGAGAGAACTGTGACTGACCCAAGGTCACCCAGCTGGCTTCATGTGGAGTAGTGGGGAATCACCGCCCTTAACCACTACACCAGAGTGGCTGGTCCCACACTCATCCTATATATTCAATAGATCTTGTGAATGTGAACAAATCCTATGTTCCATGAGCAAATGAGCATGGATAGGGGTTGGAGATAGCTGGATCATGGTGACAGGCTACTGAATATGCGCATTGAGCTTAATGGTTGCATGGAACCTACATGAATACAATTGTATACACACAGGGCTCTCTTCATGTAGCTGAGAACTTAGGAAGCAGCTCCATGCAAATGTTCATCTAAACACTTTTGGACCACCCTCCATATACAGTCATTCATTTTGGATGGGTCATTGGAACAGGGATAACTGTCCTTTTCAAATGTGTATAGGTCAGGGGCAGAGCCAGTGGACATGGTACTACCCATCCATCTTGTGCACCACATGTACATGAAGAGGGCTTCTGTGTTTACTGATCAAGGAGAAATGGGTTTGGGAGAGCAGCATAGTGAAAACATTAAAGCCTCATTAATACACCTGGCAAGTAGCTGCCATTTTTAGACAAGCCAATGCTTGAGCTGATCTAGTTGCCTTAAAAAACTGTTACACACTAAAGTTATTTATTTATTTAAAATGGCTATAACCCCATCTTTCTCCCAGGCAGCTGGTGCCCAAAGTGGGCAATAAATTAAAAACCATTAAAATTACTAAAAGTTTGAAAAGCTGCAAAAGGCTGTGAGTGGGCATCAACAGAATGCATCCTTGCAGCAGTTCAGATAGCCAATAAGTACTGCTGTTAAGGATGCCAGCAAAGCTCCATGCAGTGGTGGGCACATTTGGGTGGGGGGTGGAGACTATCAAAATGACATTGTGACGTGCAATGACATGACATTACTTCTGGTTATAAACCCAGAAGAGATGTCATCATGTTGTATGACACTCTATTTCGTGGAGCATCACACAACATAATGACATCACTTCCAGGTTCCAGCGGGAAGTGACATTATGGTGTTGCACCATACTGTCCCCTCAACTCAGTATACAGTGGCAAGCAGCACTGAAGTTGCCTGATGGACTTTGGTGCTTGAGAGTCATCAAAACAACCTTTAGCGCTGTCAGCCATTCCTTGAGTTGATTAAAAGCATAGTATTTAACTAATTAACTTTAGATAAATTTGCATATTGGAGAGCTTCAGTGCTGCCTTCTTGATTCCGAAGTATAACCATAATTTGTGTTTTGTTTTTCTTTTATGTCATATTGAGTTATATGGGATATTTCTGACTAAAGATGTAATTGGTTATTAAAATACTAATGAATCACATTTCCCCACAAAAACTGGTTGATTGTGTAGTTTTTTACATACAGTATAAATAATAGAAAACTCAATAAAACAGAATAGACATGTATGAAAACAAACTGTTAACAGCTTAAAAACCCAACTACAGCAGAAAACCAAACTGAAAGCTGTTTTAAACCAGACTGTCTTACACATTCTGCAGAAGACAAAGGAGGGTGGAAGACTTGCAGTTCATTCCAGAATTTCAGAGCAAGTACCAAAAAAAGACCTGGAGTGGGCTGCCACTCTGTTATGTAGGGGGATAAAGAGGAAACATTGGCATGAACTTCAAAAAGAAAGAAAAAATGACTTTAACATTAAACATATAAAATTTATTCATTCAATGCAAGGGATCATAGCTCCATGACAGAATGTGTTTTTAATCAGTGTCATAATGGTTCTTCTTCCTTTATAAACAAAAAGGAGTTCTCTGGCACCTCAAAGACTAATAGATTTATTGTAGCGTAAATAATTGCTGAATTAGAATTTAACAGTCAATTGAATTGTATTCACCAGGGTTTAACTCTCACGGTTACAGCTGTTGTGAATGGTCACTGTGCTTATCTTGTACTTTTGAGTTCGGCATAGAAATGCTGCAAACTGTACCTCTTGCATTTTGTGGCCTTTTAGCCTCCTCATTCACAATCCTCCCCCCTTGCTAATATTAGCTGAGGATTCACTTCATGCATCTGATGAAAGAGACTGTAGCCATGGCAGCTTCAACTACAATAATTCTGCTACTTTGTAAGGTGGCAGAAAACTCCCTCTTGGTTTTGCTACCGCAGACTCACATGGCTAATCCTCTGCAATTAATTACTTAAAAGTGTGTGCAGATGTCTGAAAAAGCCCTTTCTTCTCTCAGGTTCTCTTCCTACTTCTCCATTTCCAATCCGTAGAAGATTCCATTGGAA